TGGTGCAAGCCCCATACCACGTCAGAAGTATTCAACATTGGCCTCCTGTAATACTACTTATATCTGCATGAGCTATTCATCTAAGTAAACTCCAAATAAACGTCACTGCCATAATTTCAATGCTAAAATCACAGTGATGGCCCTTGGGGGGAGGGGGGAAAGGGGAAGAGAGGAGGGGATGAAGTGGGGGTCCTAAACCACCACCTTCCAAATAAAATTTAAAAATCGAGATCCTGAAGAGTAACACTGGAATGCAAAACACACACTGTAACTGAAAGACAGCAGAGTACAGACTTCCAGGCTTTGGTTAATAATTTAAGACCACTAAAAGAACTCTGAAACTCTTGATAAAGCAATTGGTTTATAAGCATGAAACAGCACCATTCTCAAAAGCCCCACTCCAACTGCTAAAAAAGAAACTATATTTCAATTTGTGGGTCAGTCCCTTGTAAGCACTGAAGGCTCCCAGTACAGGTCAATGTGCATCCAGAGATGGTTCCTGCATTTCCACATCAAACACAATTAAAGAAAAAGACTGAGGATGACTGCAGAGACAAAAACCTTCCCATTTTGGCCCTGTGTATCAAACTTTTGTGCCAGGTGGATCATCTGAGACTTAGCATGTGCACTAAAAAGAAAAAATAAATCACTGAATATATAAAATGCAAAATCTGTCAAGAAGCTCTTGTCTCTTGAACTAAACATAATGTAAATTGCATTCAAATCATTTAAGTATTTGGAAGTACCCTATTTTTAGATGAGTGTTCCTGGAGCTACTTTTTGTTCTCATTCCAAAGACAAACATCACACCCTTTCTGCAACAGCAGAAAAAAAAAACAGTTAACAATTTTACACCTAATGTACAGCTTATCCACATATATGCAACCAAGAAAGGACAGCGGGGTGCTATTTCATTAAAGCAGCAATCTGGTACTGAAATCTATTCTAATCTTTCTCTGTATAGCTTATTCCTGAACTCATTTGAACAAATGCACCCTAAGATGATGAGGGAGAAGGAACAAATCATTGTGTAAAACTGAAACAGTACCACCTCACCACTAGGCTAGGCAATGACTGTCACATGGCAGCTTTAAACCATTTTCATAACTTCCATTAGTGTCTTTGAATTGCCCTGTTCCCACAGGAATGAGGTACATCAGGAGTAAGGTATCCTCATTCACACAACTTACAATTCTGAAAAGCCAGACAGCATCCAATAATAGTCTGAGTGTTATCATTGCCACCCTGATCTGACGGGTGACTTGTATGTGGCGTCCTTGACAGGCACCATTCGTACCATTTCCAAGATGACCACGTTGCCACAATCTCCCTATCGCCAATGATTTTGAGTTGTCTCTGATGCACATTCATGCTTCACAGACAAATTAAGCCTGATAAAAAGTGCTGGCACTACCACTTAAAAAAGACCAACATCACAGAAGGACACAGACAAAATTCCAAGTCACAGAAAATGACAAAGCTGGCACTAGAAAGTGAAATGCTTTCTCCAATATAAGCAATCCTTTGTATTTAGGAGAAAAACGAGTTCTGTGGTGTTCCAAGTGTTCAGAGCAACATGATCTTCACTGCTTTTGCAAAGGAGCGAAGTTGAGAGCAGCAGTGTATAAAAATACATGGTTAGCTACATAGTTTTGGTTTGCACAGCTGTTGGCTATGTTCATTTACAGTTCATGTAGTGCCAACATCATTTATATAAACAACAGAGGCTGGTTCTCTCCTGCTCATCGCCATAAAAGTTATTTCTCTCAGCAGCTGCTGCACAAAAATTAGTTTCTATTTCAGTATTGCACATTGTTAAGTTTACAAAGTGGCGGATTCTGGAGACCGCTGAAAACAGGTAGGACCTAAAGAAACTTAGCCGTATTTAATAACGAAGGGGAGGGAGGGGGAGATGGACGGCATACACTGCTTTCTTAGAGTGCAAGGAGGTAGTAACCCTCTCTTAACACGGATAAACTGAAAACTAAGTTGCTTTAGGCAACTACTTGAACGAGTTGCTTTAGGCAACTACGAGGAACGAGAACCTTGGTTTCCCTGACCCTCTCCAGCTTTATGAATTAAAAGGAAATATAAGGATTATCCGGATTCCGGCAGATAAGAGAGAGTACAAAATATTGACATATTATGTAATAAACATTAACTGATAGAACTTGATGTGACAGCGGTGCAGAGAGGTAGCGCCGCGGATGCTGCCAGGGTACTCCCCCCTGCACACACACATACACAGAGGCAAGCTCCTGGACTCTGCTGCTGACACACAGCCGCTCCCGACCCCTGGAACCAGCAACAGGACGTCCTCAGCCGGCCGCACACCCTTCTCCCCGGCGAGGATCGGCCCGGGAGCCGGCTGTGCGCGCCCATGCCCCCGCTCCGCTGGTCGGCCGGAGGAGCAGGCACCGCGGCGGGGCCGCCCCGCTCCCCCAGCCAGCCCGTGGGGAGGAAGCGGCGACCGGCCGAGGCGGCGGCGGGAGCGCGGAGAAGCCTAGCACCGCCGCCTGAACTTGGCGCTTCCCCTTCCCTCAGCTCCAGCGCGGGGCGGGGGGAAGCGGAACCCGAGGCGACCAGAGCCCGCACTCACCTCGGCCCTCTCTGTCGCTGCGGGGCGGCCGGACGGCCGTTGTGTGTGTGGTGGGTGGGGGGGCACCGTGCGGCGCCTGCCCCGCCGCTCCTGCGCCTGTCACCGGGGGCCCGGGGAGGAGAGTCCCGCAGGGTAAATCCTCCGAGCGGCGGCGGGGACGGGCACCAGCCGCGTACCGCCCGCTCGTCGCGGCGGCCGCTGCCTCGCACGAAGTTGAGGCGCGGCCGCCGTTGCCGCTGCGCGGCCGGAGTGCCGCCGGCGGCCGCTACAGCCGCGGGGAACCGGCGCCTCCTTTCGCCGCCTCGCTCCGCAGCCGGGGAAGGAGCGCTGCTGCACCGCCGCCACCGCCGCCCCGGCCCCGCTCTTCCTGCGGCTGCTGGGAGCCGCGCTCCGGGCGCAACGGCGCGGTCACACGGAGCCCCGCGGGAAAGCCTCCTTCCCCGCCGCCTCCTCCTCCCTCAGCGCCCGAGAGCCCTCCGCTGCAGCCCCGCGGCGGCGCCCGCTCCGCATGCCCCGTCACTCCGCGCACCGCCGCTTCTGCTGCTGCTGCCGCCGGCGGCGGCGCCCCCACCCGAACCCTCCTCAGCGCCTCGCCTCCATCACCGGCGTGGGGGCGTCAGCAGCGGCGGCGGGCGCAGAGAGAGGGGCGGTGACTGCCCGCCCCAGCGCGCGCGGGCACGTCCCCCGCCTGCCCGCGCCCCGCCCCGCCGCTACCCCGGATGTGTGTGTGTGTGCGGTGTGAGGGGAGGGGGCTCCGCACAGCGGGGTGCCGCGTACCCCGGTACGGCAGCGGCGGTCACCGCCTGGGGGCTGCTCGTTAAGGCCGGTCCCTGTCAAACATGCGGGTGGAAGCGGCTGTGCCTGCGCCCCCCTTCATACACGTACACTGTGGTGTGGGTGGGGTGTGCAGTGCTCGGGCTACCGGTGCGCGGCGGCCCGCGGGGACTGCGGTACAGGGTTGTGGGCAGTGAGCAGGTGCGGTGTGCTCCTGTGTCATCCCGGCTCCGCCTGCGCCCGCCGTACCTGCGCCCTAAAAGGAGCTCTGGCCTAGGAGGGCGAGCAGGAGCTGTGCGACTGAATTGACCTTGCTGCGCCTTTCAGTGGGGGTCACCAGCACCAGCCGGCCGCAGCTCCTTGCTGGGGCACGGGTGGCTTTGCTGGAGGTTGTGTGCTGCGCACCATGGTGGACAGAAATGTTGCGTTGGGTTATTGGGCTGTAGCAAGACTCCGCTAGCACTGGACTCCAAGCAAGGCAGTGCGATGTGAGTATGGGCCCCACTGCAGCATCAAAATGTTAGACGTGGACAGAGCCTTGAGCCACATGGTCTAGCGTGAGGACACCCTGCCGGTGGCGGGGGGGTTGGAACTAGATAATCTTAAAATCCTTTCCAATCCAAACCATTATATGGTTCTACACGCCCTGTAAGCGTGTTTGTGTCCTAAGATCATTTAATACAGTCAGAACATCACTTTGTCCCCACCCCCGAAATATATTTTTGACACTTGAATTCTGGGAACTGTTTTATCTTTCCATACTCTTATATTCAGCTTTTTAAAGTTTACAGATCAAAGTTTATGTTCCCTCTTAAAAAAGTCTGCCTAGCAAAGTTTCAGTGAAGAAAACACTGCATTTCCATTGACGAGTGAATCTCAAGTCTCTGAAATGATGTGTAACTTTAAAGAGGTATTTGTTTGCAGAACCCCAAAACCATGCTGTGCTCATTATAAACATATTTAACACGTTCCTTGGCAGAAAACCTATATTCTAAAGAGAATTTAAATAGGGAAATGAGAAAAATAGAAAAAGAAGGTGTGCAGACAAAGTTGGGTGAGTGCTGAACACTGTCATGCTGACACCCTGCAATTCTGCTGGTGCTTCCATCTATTTCTCTCTTTAGAACGATCTTTCTGTTCAGATACTGAGTGGTTCTAGTCCTTTACCCACCACACACTTGCAGCTGCCACTAGCCCTGTGGTATGTTTGTCTAACCATAAGGCTGATTTTTCACTCTGTTTAGAATCATAGAATCATATAATAGAACCATAGAATTTGACACACATGCAAGTACCATTTACTCTTGCCTCCCTTGGAAGTAACTTAGACTTTTTTTAAGGGCACTTAGTTCTCCCAACCATTCCTTTGGGATACTTCTTCTTCAGACAAAACCAGTGAGCTCAGAATCCCTGTGTGCCCCTACAGATCTGTTGAGGATGAGTACTTAGTTTTCTAGGTAGAGCGCATACAGAATCCTATTACTCCATACATTTTGATGTACACGTAGTCTGACAGCCCTATACTTGCCTACTTTTGCAAGCATTAACGAAGCTGTTTCAGTCTCAGGTTTTTTTAGGCAGGAGAGTGCAGGTAGCAGCATGGTGCTTGTGCTTGGACTCCATCTACCTGTTGTCCCCTTGCTGGGAAGAGTCAAAAAGTGCAGGATGGACTCTGTGGAGAGGAGACATCTGGCTAGGGTAAGCTGAGGATTAGACTAAAAGTGCCTTTGACTAATGTTGACTGAAATAGTTGAAATAAAAAACAGTTTGAAAAATGCTTAAAATTGTAGTCAGGTGACAGAGTAAACACATATGTAAAAATACCAAGGTAGCCAGTGCATAAACAGTAGAACAAGGAGGCATTCTTTGCCCGGTACAGGACTCATGCATACGTTCATCTCCAACGAGCTGAATGGGATTCCTTGTGTGCTTAAACAACTTAAATGTTTGAGCTTCGCTGCGCTGCTCAGCTGATACACTCACCAGAGACTGTGTACTGTGACAGGCATCTTCCCCAGGAGAGGTAATGCACACCACTGCAGGAACCATAAAGCTACCTTCATTTAGCATTTATAGGCTGGGGATTGAATACGTGTGTGTTTATACACAGGCAAATAATATGAGAAGTATCGGGCTTCCTTATGCCAAAAATGCATGGTTTCAATTTACGCTAAAAAGTTTTAGCAAGAATGATCTATTGTTTGCAAGCAGTTCACTGTATGCAAGCAGCTTAAAGCTTGTTCCGTTATGATTGATGATGCCGTAGAATGTATCCCAAACCCCTCTGGTGGAATGTCTTTATGACACCTCGATTATCTATTATATTGCATTGCAACCGAGTCTAGGAAACTCACTTAGCAAAAATGTTATCAGTTTCATGAAAAGAAGAAGTCAGCGTGAGACATCTAGATACAGCCAAAGACACTTTCAGAAGTGATATGAACTCACTAAACCATGTAGGAAAAAAAAAAAAGTAATTTTGGAGTAAGTGTACATTCAAAAATGTAGTCTATAATTTAAGGACCAAGTTTATGGCATGTGTATTAGGAGAAGTACATTGAGATTCAGGTTTATGGCTTGTGGAGCACTACTAAGTCAACTTCGTAAAATTATTATTGGAGGAATCTTTTAAAATACATACATCTTCAAGTCATGGCAACAAATAAATAGATTTTTTAAATCTTTGGATGGTTTGTAATTACGGTCAATGCTATCCTTCTGATTGTCCTGGAGGGGAGAAAGGGGAAAATAAAGGATTTTTCTTGCTTTGGTTACACATTTGTCCAAACCGTGCCACCCCTCTGATGTTCCCAGAACCTTGCAAAATGCCAGGTCAGGGGAAAATAGTGCCTGGAGAGGGAAAACCTCCTGTGTAATTTTTACTGTAGCAGGCACTCATGGGTGCAGTCTCTCTCCTACACCAGCGGCCCACTTACAGCTGCAGGGAGATGAACTGGCCAGGACAAATGCCAAAGCTGCCAGGCTTTGGGCAGATGAGGAACTGAAGTTCAGGCTACCTGCAAGGTAAACAGAGGCACTAGGGGCCAGATCCCACAGACAGAGTATGTGTCACCATCATTCATGTCAGCAACATGGCTTAGGGCCGTGAGGACAACAGCCAGCAGCAGCCTTGCCAAAGAATCCTCACAGAACTGGGATTAAAACATTCCCCAGCTGAAGCAGGTCACTGTGTCACGGTTTGGCAGTTTGCTGCACCGGAATATGAAGCAGCATCCCATCTGAACTGAATGCAAACAAGCAGTACCTTGGTGGAGGTCATTTTACACTCAGTATTTAAATGGTGTTTTTAAAAGAAAACCTCAGAAATAAAAAGTATACATACAAGCCAGATACAATCTGCTTTGTAAAAAGAAAGAGATATGTAAATATTGTCTTCACGTCAACTTTGGGGAAGCGTCTGTCCCACCAGAGCTAATTGCCAATGAAGAAATTGGCCTTTATTGTTGAGGTTGTTACAAAGGGTGTCATAAACTAACTTTATTACAGCAAATGTTGAGCTGTATTTGCATTTTTTTCCATCACATTGTCTTTGTTTTACAAGCTGTCTGCAATAGCTGTTCTTGGAAGGTCTCCAACAAAGCATTCTCTTTGGGGCATCTAACTGCAAATAAGATTAAAGCTTAATATGTCTGGTAATCAGTTTTCTTTTAAAGAGCACAATTTGATTTCTTATGGTCAGCTGGGATCCCACATATCTCTTCTGTTTTTCAACTTGCTGCTCTCAATAACCCAGAAAGGCAATTTGCCAACAGATGTCCTTTCACCACTTCTCCTGAATTGGAGTGTCATCTGAGAGGTAGTCATACACGGCTTCTATTCCAGAATCCAAGACTTCTCTCTATTAAATGCAGCTTTTTTTTTAAACCAGCCTGGGCAAGAGCAAAGCACTTTATGCCCTCCATTTGTTCTGGTGATGTGCAATGAATAAAGATGGGTAAAGCTTGTTTGCTCAAAACGAGCAAACAGGAGCAGGTAGTCTCTCTAACTCCTCGCTATACCACTGTTTGATCCAAGAGAGGTGCAGCTGTACTGGGAGAATTGTTCTTAATAACAACAAAAATACCCTTTGAGGATATGGCAAGTAAGAAAGAGAGAGAACCACGAGAACTTGACTGTCTTTGATGAACCTGAGCCTAACCCCCAGCTCATCTGATCTCACCTCACTTGTAAGGGTGGGAGAAAGAAACAGCTGGACTCTCTACTGGTACCCTGGAGGGAAAGGTAGAGCACCTTCTCATCTGCCAGGGTACAAGGGTTCCAGCGCTTTCACTTCCCAGGGATGCTCCCTGAGCCCACAACTGCACAGCTCTTTTCTGCTTTACTCCTTTGCTGGAGAGGAGTAAGAGGGAGAAGAGTCCTCCTTTACCCCATTCCTTCCCCTGTATTGGACTGCAACTAGGATGCTGTCCTGTATCTGTGGAGAAAGTTTAAGGACAGAGAAACAGCAAGACTGGACCAGAAAAACTGGACTGGGTAACCCTTACCCTACGGATACCATGTGAGTTTGACAACCAAACAGTTATTGGGTCATTTGGTACCAAATGCAAGCTGTAATCGCAGCCACACTGTACTACTGTACTAACGCTATCTATGCTGCACTATTGTACTATAGAAGGGTCAGGAACGGCAGGAGACCACAAATCTTGAGAAAGGGTTTGGTAAAAGAGAATGCTGTTGATGCTCTTGCACTTTCTTTTTTTCAGTATTCCTAAAAGGCATCTTGACTGATAACTATACTTATCTATCTTATTGGGCATATGGAGCAAACCACTGGAGGCTTCTTCATCAGAAGCTAGTTTCTTAAATCCCATTCCTTAATTTTAACTTCTGTTAACTCTCCTATTCAAAACAAGCTTTAGAACAACATCAGAGCATAAAGAGATTCGTCAGTTTGGTTGTCAGAGGTCCAAGATGGTTTAAACTCAGTTCGCCAAGGAAGGAGGTTGCTTCTAGATATAAACATTTCAAAGAATGTAAACACCAGTTTTCAAAATGTTGGTAAAAGGCTTTGGCAGGTATGAAAGTGCTTCTATTTCCATCTACATTAAACCTGGAGCATATTCATAATTCTTACACAGCCTGTTGTTATTCCATATGTCATAATTTGTCATAATTTGTTTTGATACTTATTCTAAATTCTGTTACAGAAAAAAAAGAAAAGTGCTGTGTTTCTAGGATACTTCTGTCTCAGCAATGATGTGGTTCAATATATGACAAATCAATATATTACAAAATACTTAATTCACAACTACAAAATGTGGATGCTTAAATCACAAGAGAGAAATAACTGTTACACTTTAGTCAAATAGACGTGACCACAAGGACTGAGGATTTATCACAAACAGCTCTAGCCTTTACAGAGTGAAAGTGACTGGTCTCATTCTGGAGGAAATATGAATGAGCTTTCTCCCAAGAAAAATAGAAACGGCCTGAGGGCAACATAAAGGTGCAGTAAACCTCTGAAAGATGAAGTCTCTATTTTTACCAGAGTAGCTTTATGTTATGGATAAGCAAAGACAAGATATAATTTTATGTATCCATTTGAAAGTTCATAAACCTAGTTAAAGCAACTTTTCTCAAGCAGTCTTAAAAATAACAGTAAAACTGGCAACTAATATGTTTGCCTGATAAACTGTCACGTCTACATGATAGTAAGTTCTGTCTAACATCGTTCTCTCTGCAGATGGGATCCCAGTGTTCCTATTTCTGCAGGATGTTTTTGTCACCGACTTAAAAACAATAAGCTATTAAAGTGAAAGCAGATACTAAATGTTTTCACATAAAAGCCTGTCACAAATTTCTCACCCAAATCTAGCCTTCCATCTATCCTTCATTATTTACCATTGCTGTTAACGCACTGGGTCAGCAATATAATTTGTTGCCAAATGTGAAACAAGGCAATTTTTTTATGGGGTGCCAGAGGCCACTTGGAAACCAATTGCTTGGAGGACAAAGTACCTTCTGAAAAGGAACTGTAAAAATGGCATCCAAGGGTTTCAGTTTTGTACCTCTAAGGCTCCTTTAATAAATAGGCTCTGTCTATCATATACAGAAGAGCAAAGGAGAGAAAGAGGGCTTCCCACAGACAGGTCTGCAAAACAAAGGTACCTTCTGCTCCACGCATCATAGACTAACCACAGTAAAAAGGCTGAATTCATCAGTGTAGAGATACACTGCATCATTAAATTATGCCTTCAGTGACAACTGTGTAGTCCATTTGCCTTCAGCAGGTTTCTAATGGAGGCGGTGGTTGGAACTTAATAAACAATTGTGTTAGAACAGCACTATTTGTTATATACATGGCTTGTGAAGAATAAGCAGCAGAAGAAAGCAGGAACATTTCTTTTTAGTTACAAGCATCAGAAGAAATTACTGGCAGGTAAAGGAAGTGGACTGATGTGATGAAAATACACTAATTACCACTCACTTTTCAGGTAGAACAAGCCTTTCCCATTAGTCCCTACCATGAAGTGTGTGTTGATTGCCATTATTTCCAGTCGGAGGACTCCACCCATAATCTAGATTACAGTTTTATTGCCCAATTAAGGTTTTAAAATGGCCAACACAAACTGCAGTTCAATGATGTAATTACATCTACGGTTTACCCCAATGACACTGCAAACAAGCCATGCCTGCACAAAGGGATGATTTGGGTCAGACCAAAGGTCTGTCTAGCTTCATATCCTCTCTCTGACACCTGCCAAAGTGGGTACCCAGGAAAAGATTACAAGGCCCACTACAAATACATGGTGGCACCTCCCCAGCTTCCAGCTGAACTCGGGTCAATTTCTCTTTTCGGTACAAAGGTGATTTGCAGTTCACTTATTTTCTGCAATTTGCAGAAGTCCACAGAAGCAATAGTCCTGAAGGTCATCTTCAGCTAGGTCTCTCCTTAAGTATGGGCTTAATTGAAATGTACTGTACATAATTGCTGCAGGTGAGCTTTGTAGACATGCAAGTGGCTGGCAAAAGCAACAGGCAAGTATCACCTCTATGTCTTCATTCAGTTTCTCCCTTATGATCTGGCCCAGACCATAGGAATTCACATACTTTTACTAGGGTTTTGATTTCTGGATCCAGGGGACAGCATGGAGGGTGTCTGTGTGTGTGTCAAATAATTTATCCAAAGTATAAAGAGGCTTTCTTTAAAATCAAGGAATAATCCATCACTCAGACTTATTTGCTAACAATTTTCAAGCATTAGGAAATCGTCTGACCATTCTAACAGCTCCGTTCTTATTCTTAAATCCTTCTATCCCACAATCTCAAAGTATATGCAAACATGAAATGCATCACCCAGAATACATTTGAGTAATAGGGGCATACTAACAAGTTTCCTTCTATCTTGCTGCACAGCAGTGATTTTTGATAGTAGTACATTCACTGCCTTTCTTCCAGGGTTGCACTGTTTTTAGACAAGGTGGATAAAAATCTCTGTCTGGAGCTGTTTTAATGCTTATTGCCCAATTCCTAAATCCTGCACCGTAACCAAGTACACTGTGGCTGAGCAGGAGCCCAGCATGGAGGGATTAGAGGAAAAAAATTCCAGCACCTCCAGGTAGTACTTGGCAGCTGCTGTTTCAGCCCTAGAGCTACAGCAGCTGCCACAGCCAAAGCAGTGCTGCTTGGAACTGACAAAATAAGCAAGATCTGCCTGTATTGTTGATCTCCTTCCCACCTCACAGTTTGCCTGCATTTTTTAATTCTTCCTTTATGCAGTGCAAACAGTTCTACTTGGAGAGTAATTTTGTACATCTACGAGAAAGATTATGTTTTTATCCCTATTACACAGTGCAGCCACAGAAACCTCCCCTCCTTTTCTCCCATCCCCACCCAAATATTATGTTGTTAAATTAAAAATAAGCCTCATTATTTTTTGTATATATACTCAGATATCCTAGCACAGGTGGGTAGTACAGAAAGATTATTTCATCGAATGTAACAAGCATGGAGACTGTGCGAGCAATGAGCTATACACTTAAGAGGAGATGAGAAAAAGATGGCATATAGTCTAGAACCAGCACAGCATCATCAAATTCATGTATTTAATTTTGTATTACTCTATTTTCATACCTTTCTTTTCCTCCAGTCTTTTCTAAAAAAAGAGGTTTAACTCTCCAGAGTGCCATTTCTGAGATGGTTTCCCATGATGCAAAAGGGAAAAGTCTATGAGATTTCCACTGTAAGCGAGCAGCAGATGTGTGTGAGCAGAGCTCAGTAAGTAGGTATTTCCACAGATAAAGTACTTAATACAATGTCCAAATACCACAAGTTCCAGTGGGATCTTGAAGCTTGCTATGGAAAAGAGACAATGGCAGAATGTCAAAGACAGGGCAAGAATGTGATGTTTCCTTTTTAAACTTTCAAAGTCCAGCGACCTTTGTGTGAATCTGCCAGTCTGATGAAGTCACCAGCAAAACACAGTTGGTGGCAGTGGGTGTGGAAGGTAATATAGTACCTGCTTGGGGTTATAAACTGCATTCCAGTTACCTGGTACTAATCCTGAGGCTAATCAGTTCATCAGAGCCAAGAGTAAGCACAATATCATAATTTCCAAAATGCTGGTTTACATTTGCATCTTTACAAGAACATCTTGCTTTTTTCTACTTCTCTGAAGGTACATAAGATCTCAGTATTATTAAATATTGGGAACACTGGCACTGTGGTCAGTGCAAGCTTTAGGTGAGTAAACATGTACATCCAACATCCTAAGAGTAGGATGTACTCTTAGCCTGAGGTTCTCTATGCTTTTGCTGATACAACTGTCTCGGTCCCATTGTTGATAGACAAACAGCTTCACTTACACCAAGGCCAAGAGACACCACACAGTATGCTAACTAAACTTCATGTGACCCTGTAACATAAGTAAGGTTACCCTTCTTTTTGGGAGGCAGACCAGGGTCTTGCCTCAGGCTGCAATGCAAGTCGGTGACATAGTGCTAAAAGGATTCAACGTCTTGCCTCCCTTCCCATTCCTGTGCTTCATTATTAAGTTGTGCTCCTATTTTGTTACATGTGTCTCACTTTTCACTAGAGCATACTACGGTTTAGAACATTTTTTAACAGTAAAACTTGCTTTATGATTTGAAATATCCTTATTTGGATAAAAAGAAGATCTTTGGATAAAGAGAAGTGTTTTCTTCAAAGAAACACTCTGTCTTGCAAAGTAAGTGTTAAGTCTCTCTAGCTGAAAGACTATTTATGGTTTGCATAGTTATTCTTTCAGGGTATGACATCATCCTCAGCACATGCATATCCCAGAACACTAAATTATTCTCCCTGAAAATTCCTTTCATTACTCTCAGATTGTTAAACATCACCTAGTGGCAAATTGGTAACTGATGTCTGTGGCTTGAAATGGATTTGCATGCTTATTTCTTTTGTGACACACTGGGGTCTCTTACCTTTTGTGTCTACAGTAGAATTAATGATGTAAACATTTTAGAATGCAGGTAATAAATTATGCTAGCCTATTTGCCTTTTTCTAAACCTGTATTTATTTACTTTTTAAAAACGGCTTTTTGTATTGCAAACAATATGTATTCACACAGTTACACATCCTCTGGTATTATCTCAGCTACAAAATACAATTTTCTACCCAACCTCTGACGTGGGACTCCAACCTTGTGTGCTGCCAACTCCTGCCCATAGCTACTCTCTGACTTTGCAAAGTAGTGACCTTTTGAAGTTAACAGTTTTATTCATTCATTATCAGTACTCCAACTAGTTGAACAGTTATCAGTCTGCTCTGAGGCCTCTGAAAGAAAAAGGTTTAATCAGAGCACCTCATTCAGTCTTTGGGAGTATTCTTCAGAAAGACAATACAGGCTTAAAATTGGTATCTTGCAGCACCTCTGAGTGGCTGCTGTAAAGAATAAGGAGATGCCATTGATACAAGTCCCTTGAGGGGAATCACTTTAACCTGAAGAATGCCGGGATTCCCAAAAACTGAATGGTGATGAATGCAATTACCTGAAAGCACAGGCAATGTTTTGATGGTTTTGCTGTTGCCTTTTCTTCCTGGCTTTTGAAGCTGTTTTTCTCTTAGTTTCAGCAGTAAAGCCAGCATCTGGAGCTTGCTGCTGTCTGCTCAGCTAAGCAAGTGGCAAGTATTACACTTTGTTGTAGCGGATCAGGCCCTTAAACTGAACAGTACTGTCTGTCATGAGTCAGATAATCTCCAAGGCATTTCTCCTATATATGACACAGTTATTTACTTCCATATAAATCATGCATTCAGGCACAAAGTGCTCCACTGCTTCTAACACTGAAAGAGTGATGAACACTTGGTCATGTATTCAAACAGAAAAGGAAATGTCCCCCTTCTTAAATTTCTTCTAGCTGTGATGTCAAACAACCACAGTTTATATTTCTATTAAACACGCAGGTTTTCCTTTCCTCATGTGTCCCATGTATTTTTGGGGGGGGGGTCCTCTCATAGTTGCTCACCTTACTGAACCCCAAACAACAGACCCTGATGTTCTGAACGGCACCTTTATTAGAATTGTAGTTCTAGAAGCACTTCCCTGGAAATCTGATTGAATTTTTAGATGAATACAGATACAGAGGTGAAGAAAGGAAATGTATAAAACTGATTATTTTTCTATTTGAAAACTAGTTTTCCTGCTGTTCTAGACAGATGGAGAGGAAAAAGATGATACTTAATGAGGTGGGACATATTGTACTTCTTGACAGCACTGCTGAGCCAGAATACCATTTTTTAACATGAAAACCAATGCAGTAGCTAATGTGCCTTTCAAATATGGTTTTAAAGTGAAAACCAATACACAAATCAACTTGTCTCACCTAATTTTCTCATAGCAATGATAGAATAGTTTGGATTTATTGCCTACATTTGTATTTATTACTGCTCCCTCTTCCTCCCATTTTCTACCCCTCTTCTTTTCCCCAAAGAGAAAATGAATTGATGCTAGCAAAGTAACCCCTCAAGATAAAAATACCTAAGAAACCTACACAATTTTCCATTAACTCTTTCCAAGCATGCTGCTAAGGACTATGGTCATGCACTGTAACCCTCATACTGAGCTCTGGCCAGCATGGGACATTGTTTTACACCACTGGAATAGAAATGCTGTTCTAACAAAATCAGAAAGCTTACAAAGTTTATAAACTTATAAAATCTAGAAATTCTCTGCTGGCAAGGTTAAATTATCCTCTGCTCTGAAGCTAAAGATTGAAACCATCTGGGAAGAAAAAAAATGGTGTGTCAATTATCTAAAACGAGCTTGTGCTTTACATGTAACTTAATCATAAATATATAGTCAGACCACATTAATTCTACTGAGCAAATCCAGCCTCCAGGAAGCTTATTTTAGGCATGTGATTTGAGAAGCATGCAGAAGAGGAGGCTCATCCGAGGCTGGTGCAGTCAGTTGGAAAAATGCTGTTAACTGGAATGGATTTTGAGAGGATCCCGATGGGCAACTGTCAGATACCTTTGGCTGTCAGCATTGGAGTTAACAAAAGCTGTGGTTTTCTACACTTACTCCCAGACACACAGAAGCCAGAGTTACCTTGACTATCAGCATCCATCTGTAGGCTGGTGAGTTTACTAACTGAAGTCCTCTCAAAGATCCCAATGGCTGTAAAAGTCTTTTTTCCAGTTAAGGCCAAATCAGACAACCCCTGCAGCAGCACTCAGAAATGCAGCTTCTGAAATTTCACAAAGCCAATTCAGATTCCTCAAATGTAATTTTGGAATAATTCTAATTTAATTGTTGTCTTTTGCCTCAGAGTTTTTCTGCCTATATGTTTGAATTAGCATTTTCAAGCCAAAAAGTAAAAGCCTTGTGCTGTAAGTAACAGTAGATGTTAATGTAAGAGCTAATGGAGATTGCGCTTAGCACTGAATAAGGCACAAAGGAAAATAAGAGCCCCAAAGAATTTACCATCTAAGGGCTCATTAAATTCAGTGGGACTACTTCCAAGATTAAATGAACACTTCTGGGCTAAGTATTTGTGAGATCAGTTTCATTTTGCAGACATAAGATACAAAATTGCCCCTTGAGACTGGGAGAATAATTCTGCATAACAGAGGGCATGTTCTCACTCTCATTACACTCTATAGCAAAACTTTAATGATAGTAGCAAAGCCCTCTGAAGTGCTTTTTACATACACTCACACACACACTTCTCTGTATGCGTATAGTTTTATCTCATTTTTATATGTATGTATGTCTGTGTGTGTGACTTCCAGTTGCACAAATATTAAAATTTATGTTCATATATATTAAAATCCAACCTATCAGTGCTGTATAGCACATGATAAGACGTAAGCTAACAAAGCAAGGGGGCAGTTAGAAGGCGGAAAGGCTTTCATACAGGTTGCAACCTCATTCTCATAAGACATTAGAGGTTCTAATTCCAATTTTACAGTCACATAGTCTTCTTGAGTATATGAAGGAACTCCTGTTTCAGGAGAAATTCTAGCTCTTGCTATGGTAAATGGCGAGTTTTCCTCTGCTTTCAAGAAGAATCAGCCCAGGCCTTGCTTCATCCAAACAGAAACTGTTCAGACAATTGATGTCTGATATGATGTCACAGCTGATGCAGAAGTTGGGTCCTGTAGTTACGTATTTTAAGGCACTGGATAATTCATAATCACTAATAAAGGAAAGCAAAAAAAAGAAAAACCAAAAAACCAAACCAAAACCAACCAAGCAAACAAAAACCCCACCCAACTAAACATATTTCTTATATAGATTGTTTCAGATGTAGCAAAATTCCCTCTTTCCAACCTATGGTACAATTTTAAACAATCAGTTAAGAGCTCTGTGAAAGTGGGATAGTGGATATTGACCACTTTTGGGGGATTAGGCAGGTTAACATCTTGGCAAGATAGAAAGAATTAAACCTAAAAATTACAAGGGATTCTGATCTTCAGGAAAACCCCTACATCTCACCGTGCTGTTCAAAGTAGTTGCTGGTATTAATACTGAACTCCTACCAGGTTGTTTTTTTATTAGTTTTAATACTAAATTGGGATTTATGCAAACATTCCTGAAAAAGGATGAACTTATTATATCTTTTTAAGTAGGAGATTGAAAAGTGCCTACCCGCCTACAAAATCATCATTGCTCCATCAGTTAAAATTATATCCCATATTGCTCTCATTTAATCAAAAGCCAATCTTCTTAAGTCATTAAAAAGAACTGGCTTCTTGACATTAGCTAATACCGAATTTAAACAAACAAACAAACAAACAAACAAACAAAAAAAAAATTAATAGCTCATCCAAAAATTAAGGCAAGTGTGAAAAGGAAAAAATATTTTAG